CCTGGACTAGCCATGCCCAGTTCCTGCAACCGTTCTTCATATGTTTTCGCCTCCAGTCCCCTAATCATCCTGGTTGCTCTTCTCTGCACTTTTTCTAGATCCTCAACATCCTTTTTATAGTGTGGTGACCAAAACTGGATGCAGTATTCTAAGTGTCACCTCTTTCCAGTACCTTTAATCAGAATGTAACTGGATCTCAAGAGATCCAAGAAATGTCCTTATCAGACTATTTTTTAAAAAGTTGCTAGTTGTTCTTTGAACTAAAAATAGAGGAAATTGATGCTTGTGGACATTCCTAATACTCAAGAATGAGGGATATGAATTATATTTGATGACGGTGGAAGAGATGCACAAAAGCCTTTTGTAACCAACTGGTACACTTTCTACAGTATGTAAAGAAGGAGGATTTGTATGTTTGTTTTGAAAATAAAAATATATTAAAAAAATATTTGAAAAAAAAAAGAATGAGAGATAATGCCACACATGGGATCATACCAGGGGTGGGTTTTGGCTGCTGCCAGTTCACTCAGGGCTGTGCCACGCATGCGAGCACTGGATGCGTGCTATGCATGCATGCACACTACTGAGAAAAATGCTCTGTGCATGTGTAGAAGGGAAAAAAAACCCAAGATGGTGGTGTCTATGCCACCGCTGATAGAACCGGTTCAAGCTGATTTACTAGCTACCCAGCTGAACCGGTAGGAACCAACTTCTGGAGCATACAGCGAATAGAAAGGCCAGATTTTTCAACAACAACAACAACAACAACAAAACAGGCAGGAAGGAATTCACAGAATTGTGATTTCATTTAGTCAGGCTGAAATTCAATTGTCAACATTTATTTTTTTTTAAAAAAGGTTTTTTTCTCCTTGATCATTGTTATTGTCAGTCATGCCCAACCCTTGGTCACTGAATGGATCGAAAGTTTCCATGCCCCTCTGTCTCATGCAGCCTCCTTTGGCTCCCCCATGGGTATCCCATGTCATCCTTTATAGTGTCCAGCCAAGGGTGACTCCTAATTGTTTTTCTGTTGGTCACTCCCGTCGTGATTGAATGCTTGACTTGAGTCAGCTCGCATGATATGGCCAAAGTATGATAGAGGGGTGTTTTTTTTGGGGATGATCTTGGCTTTGATTGATATTTTTGGTGAGGTTCAATTGAGGATTTCTTTGTTTGTGATTTTTGCAGTTCAGGGGATGCGTAATAAGTCATCTCAAACCACCACAATTCAAAGGCCTTCACCCTTCCTATCTGCCTTTTAGTGCCTTGATCTTCGTCATTGTTTATGATTGATGTTCCTGAGTTAGATGTGGACTTCGGTTCACTCTGATTGTGTCCTGGCTTTGATCTTCAGATAGTTATAAGCAACTGAGTGGCCTTTCTGCCACTTGCTTGCAAACTTTCAGCAGGTTATGTTGTAGCATCATGGGTAGGGCACAACTTTTCCAATGCCTTTGATAATAAAATATCGTCATCATCCGCTTTGAACTTTAATTTTGCCCAACAACTTCAGCATGGCTTGCTTGATCTCCTTGTTCCTCAAAGTGTAGATCATGGGGTTCATCAAGGGGAAGACCACTGTATGGAAAACAGCCACCACCTTATCAAAGGCGAATTCCTGAAAGGGGTGGCAGTAGAGGTAGATGGCTGGGCCAAACATGATGAAGATGATGATGATGTGGGTGATGCATGTCGAGAAAGCTTTACTCTTTCCTTTGTCAGAATTTGCTCTCACTTTGATCAGAAGGATTCCATAGGAAATGAGGAGAAGGATAAAACACATCAAGGTGGCCAAGCCACTGTTGAAGAACATGATGTATTCTATGGCATTGGTGTCAGTACAAGCCAACTTGATGATCTGAGTGATATCACAGAAGAAATTATTCAGTTCATTGGGTCCACAGAATGGCAGGGGGAGAATAAGAATTACCTGGATGATAGAATGCATGAATCCTATAGACCAGGACACCAGGACCAAAATGTAGCACACCGCTTTGCTGATGAGGCTGGTATAGCGCAAAGGGTGGCAAATGGCCACATAGCGATCAATGGCCATGCCTAAAAGAAGGAAAACCTCAGAGCATCCTAACCAATGAAGAAAGAAGATCTGGAGGATGCAGCCCTTAAAGGAGATAGTCTTATGGCTGGAGAAGAAGTCAGACAGCATCTTGGGAGGAGTGATAGAGCAATAGCAGAGGTCCAGGAAAGCCAGATTGGCTAAGAAGAAGTACATGGGAGAGTTCAGCTGAGGTTCTTTCTGGATGGTCAGGATGATGAGAAGGTTTCCTGGCAGGATCAGAGAATAAAAGATAAGGAAGAGGAGAAAGAGGGCAAATTGGATTTCTCTGGTCTGGGAGAGGCCCAGCAGGACAAAGTCTTCCACTATGGATTGATTTCTTCGGAGCATCTTGTAAGTGCCAGTTTCTATAGGTGATGCACAGAATGGACAAGAAAGAGAATGATTGCAGATTTCTTTGTTCTGTTATAATACCTGTTCATCAATCAGATCATAAGGGAAGAGCCAGAGAGCCAGAAAGACATGGCTTATGTGGCACATAGTCTATAGTGTGCGGGAGTCATGTTGCATTAACTCGCGAGAGCCAACTATTAATTTTTTTTTAAATTTTGCAAGCCAATTGAGAGCATAGCTGAGCTGCTGTGCTGATCACCTGTTCCCCAAATGCATGGTGTAGGGTGGCAACAATGGAAATGGCACAGCTGATCCTTAAACATTTAGCAGAACAAAACTGCACACACCCTGCCCCCCAAATGAATCACGGGTTTTCTCCTCCACCCCTTCCCATTTGGTCAAAGGATTGTGCAATAACTATCTGGTGAAGTAATAAGACAATTTTAGTCCAGGTAGAACCTGTTGCCTTTGAAAGGTGAACTACCACCATCATTTTGATGACTGCAAATGAAATGAAATGATCATGGAATTAATTGCCCTTTTACATTCTTGATTGGAACCTCTGATTATGAGAAGATTCAAATTTAGTATAACTTAGATTTTATGACCAGTCCTTAACAGAACATGAAAGACCCAATAGCCACATTTAATTATGTTTTTTTAAATGAATTTGTTTTGTCCTCTATATACAATTATAGGTATACATCCACATAGTTATTATTCTTATTTACATTCATCATTCTTATACATTTGTCATTCCATTTACAGGGTTATAGCATACCGTTTGTTTACCATCCCTTGCCTATTTTGAAAACCACCTTCTTTTCCCTTTCTTTTCTCCCTCCCTTCTCTACTTCCTTCCTTCCTCCTCTCCTTTCCCTTCCTTCTTTCCTTCCTTCTCCTCTACTCCTCTCTTCCCCTTCCTACCCTCTCTCCTTCTCTTTTCCATCTTCCACTCCATACCTCTATCTTCCTTCCTTCCTTTTCCTCTCATCTCCTTTCCTCCTTTCTTCTTTTCTTTTTCACTTTCTGTTGTTGTAGGTGTCTCTTTCAAATCTCAGTTTATGTTTTCTTGCGATGGTATTCCCACAAACCCAAATATAATTTGGTATCATTTCCTATATAAGCCACATTTAACTATGTTGATGTGTTAACTAACTTCTCACTCATGTAACAACAGGGAGTAGAATTGGGATCTGTTCCATTAAGGTAGCTTTCATCTTGGGGCTGTGGATCATCTCTTCTTCATTATGAAGGACTTTTAAGTTAAGTTTTGGTTCACAGGTTTCCATTTCTAAGACCTATAGATAAGCAAACCCTCTTTTCAAAATGTTCTCTATCATATCTCTTGTTCTGATCTATCTTCTCTATAGCAGTTAACATTTCTTACAGCAGATATTGTAAAAATCTAAATGTGTCCAAAAAGAGATTTCCTCACCCCAGTCAAAAGCTGTGCTGGTGGAGATTGATGGGAGCAAAACCCATAACCTCTGGAAGCTACAGTGGAAGGCAGAGAAAGGACTCTACAACTATGGTTACCCTGTGCACAAAACTCCATGGATAAGTAATTACCTGCCATGCAACAGCTTCCTGAGTAATTTTTTAAAAATAATAATTTCTGCCTTCTTTTCCTCTATTAAGACACCAAACACCCAATTATTTGCAGAAAATTAGTGAAGGCCAAGAATAATCACCTCTACCTGACAATTTAGGCAAGTTTCCTAAAACGGCAGAAGACATTATATTTAACAATAAACATAATGGTTAGATTAAAAGCACCCAAAGCCACTAGCCGAATTTAATGTGGGTATTTATAATAAGTAAAAGACATTTGTAAATGGAGGATTCATATTAACTTGAGTTAATGTTAAACAGTATATGAATTTATCTAAGATAGCAAGACAGCTTCTAATGCTTTGTGGGGTTTTTGTAATTTATCTCAGATGTCTTTAAGCGGGGGGGGGGGGGGGAAAAGATCGGAGAGTCAAAGGAGTTATAAAATCAAGCTTACCAGGAAAGACATTCTTTTTCATTCTCTTAGCTAAGATTTGTGGCTTCCAAGAATACTGCAGATGTTTAGCGAGATGGAAAAATAAGAAAGGAAAGGAGAGAGAGAAGAGAAGAATGTTTTTTTTAAAAAGAAAAGACTCACGTTGCCCTTTTTGACTGCATTTGATGGTTCCATGTCATGCTAAGTCACTTCTGATCCCTTAAGATGTGCCTCTGGGATCAAGTTCACCCCAACACTCAGGAGGCTTGTTAAAAGTTAGTGAGTCAAAATTTCAAATCATAGCAGCACACCCAGGAAAGTGACTTGAAGAAGAGAGGAGCACCACTGAATTTACAGTGGACTCTCCCAATGGAATGGAGGAAAAATGGTTTTCCCAGTTGCAAAGTATGGCTGTGAAAGTAGGACCATAAGAAAGGCTGAGCGCCAAAGAATTGAGGCCTTTGAACTATGGAGCTGGAGAAGACTCCTATGAGTCTCTTGGGCTGCAAGATGATCAAACCAGTCAGTCCTAGAGGAGATCAACCCTGACTGCTTTTTAGAAGGCCAGATCCTGAAGAGGAAATTAAAATACTTGGCCACCTAATGAGAAGGAAGGACTCACTGGAGAAGAGCCTAGTGCTGGGAAAGATTGAGGGCAAAAGAAGAAAGGGACATTAGAGAATGAGGTGGAAAGAAGGAGTCACCGAAGCAGTAGGTGTGAGCTTAAATGGTCTCCGGGGATGGAAGAGGACAGGAAGGCCATGAGGAACGTTATCCATGGGGTCGTGATGGGTCAGACATGACTTTGCAACTAACAACAAGTCCCAGTGGAATATGGCTTTGATTGCTGACTTGAGGCAGCTCTGGTGGGTCATGAAACTCAAGGCCAGGGTACAGTTCTCCATTTGAATTCTAGGTGCCAACAATTTCAGCAAGTAAATATTTATTTCTTCGGCTGACATAATGTTAAAACAAGGAACCTGCCATTTAATTAAGCACAAGTCAGTCCATAACTGAGTGGGTCATCCTTCTCTTCAGATAGAATTAGGCTGGCTCTTAGTATCTTCTAGGGTGTTAGCTATTTCTGCCAGCCTAGTATCATCTGCAAATTTGGTGAGTTCTCCTTCTATTCCCTCATCTAAGTCATTTATGAAGATATTGAAGAGTACTGGACATAAATTGGATTCTTGTGGTACCTCACGGCTTACTTCCCTCCATGTAGACTTAGATCTATTAAAAGGACTATTTGTTGAGTACGGTTTGTCAGCCAGTTATGAATCCATCTGGTGGTGATGCTATCTATCCCACTTTTTCATAGCTTACCAAGAAGTAGGTTGTGGTCTACTTTGTCGAATGCCTTGCTGAAGTCTAAGTATATTATGTCCACAGTATTTTGCTGGTCTACTAATTTAGTTACTATGCTGAGGAATGAAATAAGATTGGCTCTGTTTTTCCTCTCCTCATGACCTGCAGCAGAGCCCCAGTGAAGGCTTCCTCCTCCTCCTCCTCCTCCTCCTCCTCCTCCTCCTCCTCCTCCTCAGCTGGCCTGCAATTTGCTGGGGAAAAGGAGCAGTGGACTTCAATAAAACATGTATCCTACTCCCATCCTGGCATGTTCCCAAGGGCCCATTCTCTCCAGAGAAAAATAAGCTTCACCTGTCAACTATTGGTATCCCCCAGCCAGCCCTACTTCAACATAACTTGGTTTTGAGTCCATGACATTCTGTCTTCCATGGATTGAACTTGGGTGTGTTCCTCCAACTTTACACTGTGGTATCCTGAGACTGGAATAGAATTTTGACCACATTTCCTTGCCAAATTAGAGCTGAGGAACACAAGTAACACCAGCATACTAGTGATATCTGACCTCATGTGGATGGGTGTCCTGTTCCACAAGTTTCACATATATGTGAAATTGTAGAGAATGCTTGGTCCATGTGGAACTACCTTCCACCTGAACCTCATCTCTCCCTCTACCAGCAAAATACAACTGGCCCTGGAGGACAGAGGTGACATTGTACGACCCACACAACACCTTCAGAGATGCTGTAGAAGGACATCACGATTGAGGGTATTGAAGGCTGGTGAGAAATCAAAGAGGACTAGGAAGCCCGTCCTTCCTCATTGTGGTCTTACCTCACATTATCCCAAAGAGCAATCAGTGTTATCTTAGTACTGCCAATCTGTCTCAATCAAGAATGAAAAGGGTCCCAATAATTTCTTTTGTCCATGATTCTCCACAACTATGGTCCTTCTACCTTCTCAATAACTTTTCTGGTCAAAGGCAAGTTTGAGACATATCGCTAGCTCTCCAAACTAAGCAAGTCAAATGATGATTGCTTGAGCAGAGGCTACTTTCTCAATCAAGGTTACAACCACCATCTTCTCTGTCAAGGATTCATTCATCACCACCACCATTCACCACGAGCCTCCTGCAAATCTTCGGTGACTTTCACCAGAATTGATGTGGGGGCAGATATTTGCACTTTCTGCTTTCCAAAACCCTTCAGCAGGTTCTGGAGAATCAAAAGGGGAAATTTTGAGTAATTCAGAGAACCGGAAAATACAACTTCTGGCTGGCCCCAGAGTGAGATGGGAATGGAGATTTTGCAATATCCTTCCCCCAGGAGTGGGGAGGGAATGGGGATTTTGCAGTATCCTTCCCCTGCCATGTCCACTAAGCCACGCTCACAGAACCGGTAGTAAAAAAAATGAATTTCACCTGCCTTTTGTGCTGCTCTCAGCACAATCTGCATATTTAACAGGGTGGGCCAGGAGAAAACATCTGCCCTTCTAGGGTGCAGAAAGGTGAGTAATAGGGGTTTGCAGACCTGTATGTCTTGTGATGAGAGGTTATGATATCCATTGGCTTTGAATAAATGGATTGAGATTGTAAAGCCAGTATAGTCTCAAATCAGCTAGGAAAGATTATAATCTAAACTACTTTGCAGGAAGCTCTGATTATCATTGATGTTGAATGGGGGAAGATTCCATACTCTCTAATGAT